CCCGCCGCTTATTAAGCCCAATTTGGTCTGGACCCGAGGTGGGCTTAATAACTGGCGACTACTGCAATCACGAAAGTCCTCAAGAGATATCGTCTTCTTATCCTTATTGACTTGCATTTCCTAGTATTTCACTTAACATTTACATGTGAACTGTGCGGCTGCCATGATGGAGGCGAATTTGTTGGGTGAACTAAGAAGCAAAACCAGTTTGCATTTCCTACTCTTCCTCACCTGTAAACTTCCCATTTAACTCAACACGTTCTCGTTCAAACTGAATTCACAACCTGCTAGCCACCAACATCTATTTAAGGCGACACATAAATTTCGTTAAATCAGAGCTCCGCAGAGTTGGAGACGACGTAATCGTCAATGGACTGTTCAACTGACACTAAAATATGCGGTTTTCTGGCGGTCTCTGTGGATTACAGCGAAATTACTTGCAGTGCACATATTGCGATGCACAAAACCGACGTATTCAGGTTTACGTAAATGGAACTTCAGTTGCATGTCTGTGAACAATTACCGGTCGCCGAACCTTCATAGCTGACGTGATGCTTTCCCGTACTACCATGCTCGAGCGGGTGATCGGCGCGCCTCCGCTATATGCAATTAACGTGTGCATGGTTTAGCTGTCTTGTTACACAGCAGAATACTTCAAAATACTGTTCATTCACGCACCAGGCCTGCGATTTTTTCCACTACCCATGTAATTTTTTATACTACGCTATCACTTCGCAATGCCGCGCTGGCTGGAGGGAGGTCGCTTCGTGCGTTTGTTGATTCCGAGCCAATGAACCAGGAATCAACCAACTGACGGCCGACAAAATTCCAATTGCTTCCGAGCATTTCACCTCCACCCAAACTAAAGCGTTGTGCCGGTCGTGTCCATTGCGTCAGTATGATTTCTTTTTTTCTGGTGATGGGCGTTCACCATTTACCTCTGGAATAGTGGTTCCATATTAAAGTATTTCCAAAGTAGATGCAGTGCCTGAAACTGTATCGGATCCCGCACACAACCATTTGTATGTTTTGACATGTTACTTGCCAATATGGCTATCCTCCGTTGTAAAGTGACGCCGCATGACTCCTTTTCCCAATTTTTTTTATCATTGACGTCGAATTCTGTTTGAATTCAAAACTTCCAGCTCGAAGAAGTTTTTTATTCATCCTTTGTGTTGACCTGTTTTCCGGATATTTCTATTATTCGCATTGGCTTCCATTTAAAACTCCCTCCCACGTTTGTTCCAAATTTCAGTAAGTCTTCAGTAATGCCATACGTGCGGCCACCGAGGACCCAGGAGGTCGGTCGGACTAGTCTGCCTCCGATTGAGAAGCCACAGGAGAAACCCGCGGAATCGCCAGAAGAGAAGCCTAAGGAGGACCTCAAATTGCCAAGCATCTCCAGGGACCGGCTGAGTGAGGCGGAGAACGTTTCAGCCCTGTTCGACCAGGCAGACAACATTCTCCAGAATCCAGAGGAGTACTCCAAACTCACCGTCAATGCCCCACCTGCCCTGTGATCGCACTGTCTCTCTTGTCCCCGTTCACGGTCCTCCGATGCTCGTCGTCTGTCCTAGTTACTCTGTCCGGTTGCTCCTTGACCCCCCGTCTTCTCAGCCGGCCACCAATGAACGGCGAAGTCTAGGTCACAGACAGCAACAATCCTCATTGAAGTCCACATGTTTTGCGATGGATGGAGTAATAAAGCCTTCGGTCTGGTTGGGGTTAAGGTTTATGTACCATGCGACCACTAGGCTGGTAAATATTAAGTATGTTCACCCCAAATCACGCTATCTTTCCTCCGTCATCTCGCCTATCTACCTAAATGGCCCTATCCATACTGTCTGCTTGTATGAAGGGCTGTCAGAATGAAACTTATAATTTTAAGCTGCTACTGCCATTGCGTTGCACATTTTTTTTGCAGTCGCTGAGCAGAACGTTAGGTCACAGCTTTCCTTTTCCTTACGGCGGATTAGCAGCTGAAGTTACAAAGCTGAGTCCACGCTTGTAGGGACCTGAGGCGTCATATAAAGCATCTTAGATTGAAATAACCATTTCTGGTTTATAAGTCATCATCAGCCAGCCGTAGACAATCCCACACTTTGCAAAAACACCTGAGGTTCAACCAGGCGACCTATTGATTGTAGGTCCAACGCCCTAACCAATGAGCCACGGGTTCGTTGCTCTGTCGGTTGCGATCGGGATATATTAATAACTGGCAGTGACCGATCACGTTATTGGACATGATCGCCTCGTTGTGCTTTGGGGTTCGTTTTAGAGCCCAACCGGTGGCCGCACAGCAGCTAGTATTATAAGCCATTTCCGGCTTATAGGCCGTTATCAGCCAGCCTAACTTTTTGCAACCCCTGAGGTCCGAAGCCTTGACCGATTAGTTTGGGAGTTCAACGCCCTAAACAGTGAGCCACAAGCTCGTTGGTCTGTCTGTTTGTCACTGATTACGTTCGACAGCGTAGTAAAATTCTGAAAAAGATTACTTAGGACTGCGATGGCCGCATGCGAGGTCCGTGGCTTCTTACTTCCAACAACCAGCCCAGGAGAATACACGCTCTCCAAACTCAGTTAAGTTGTCTTTTTTAGGGAATCAAGTATTGAGGAAGACTTAAATACAGCCAACGCCCCTACCATCTGAGCTACGAGGCCCCATCAGGGGCCATACATGTAAACACGCTTAGTCGAGTTGCCTGCCCTACTAGGATTACATTCACGGTTCCCGACGAGGGCGTTGTAGCTCAGTTGGCTAGAGCCTTGGCTGTACTAAAACTTTCGTCTTGTTGGTGCGGGCTCGAATCCCACCGAGGCCGCTGTAAAGCCGGGTCAAATGAATCAAAGTGTTATGAATGGCGACTGGCTTGACACCGTATACAGTACAGTTAGTTGTAGGCTGCGCCATTTCGCTCAATCCGCCCCATTGTACTCAGTTAAGTTCTCGCCAATTAAATATCACCTCCCGAAGCCTCTGCGGTCTAATATTTCCTGGTCTTCCCACACTGCATTACATATAAGTAGAAGCAAAAAGCAGAATCATATCAACTTAAGCAGGAAATCCCGCTTTCTGATTGGGCGGTTAAATGATCTAGGCATTCGCCGTTCTGCTTATTACTCGTCTCTCACTATGTCCTGGTTTAACTATCTATGCGATACCTCCACAGATAGTTGGATTGACTGCAATCTCGTCCCTCCCCTCTCTTTATCCGACTGTCAACCAGGTGGGGGAGGGGGCTGCAACGCTTGGCGTGGCGTAGAGGATGTGGTCGACTTGGCCGCAGGGCAGCGGTTGAGACCTCACACGGG